CACGGCTTCCTCTTGGTTGTCGCCGCCGACTTGGTGACCAGCCTTGTGGTGGCGCACTCCGAGTGGTTGAGGTTCGCCCCCGTTTGACCCCCCTGACCGGTGGACGCAGGCAGCGCGGTGGATCTGCGACAGACGTTGGCGTCGCAACAAGCAGCAGCTGCCGCTCGCTGCGCCTGCCCGGCCGCGCTCGCCGAGCACCGGGCCGACTGCTGCTTGCACCGGGCGGGTTCGGGCCACCGCTGCGCCGGTGCTTGTCGCGCTGCCACTGCCGGCTGGCCCAGCCGATTCTCGGCTGGACCACCTCTCAGGGGCAACCGCAGGGGGGGATAAGACCTCGGGGGGGATGCATCGACCCCCAATCGCCCATTGATCGCCGATATGGGCCCGATAGCTTTAACCTGCCCAGGAGCGTGCGGATTCGCTATCGGGGGCCTATCGCGGCTCTATCGGCGATGTATCGCCCATTCGAGGTCGATGTTTCCGCCCCTATGCCAGTCCCCCCCATCGTTGCCCCTCAACCTCGAGCAGAAGGGAATGGGCGGCGGGGGAGGGTGGGGTGAAGGACTTGCATGGAAGTTGCACGGCTTTGCAAGAAGCCGTCATGCGATCGCCTCCCGAGTGCCTCTTCTGGCACGGCTGGTCATGCCGCTTCCAGCGCAGGGACGAGCGTGATCCGTAGATAAGTCTGCACAGAGAAAGCAAGCTTCGGGAGAGAAATAGGCGGACTCCTTTCTCCCTTCCTTCCGCAGCGCAAGGAGAGGAAAGAGGAGACCTCTCCCAGAGGGGGAAGTGAGGGAAGGGGGGTAAGGGGGGTGAGGGGTGGTAAGGGGGGTAGTCAGGGCTAGGGGGTGGGCCAGCATCCGACGGCTCGCTTCTTCGAGACAGATCGGCGTCACCCCAGCATTTGTACTATACGTGCGTCGCCTGGGGCGGCGTGCGCCGAGAAATCTTACAGTATATGCGTCGTGGCGGGCGCTTTCTGGCCACGCCGCTCGGGAAACGATATACTACAAGATGGGTGTACTATATGCTCGGGTTGGAGACGCGCCTCCAAGGAAGACACATAGTATTGGTATGTCCCTGTGCGTCCCAACAGAGGCCCCCAGAGCCCTCGATCCCTTCCCCGTGACCGGGCTTTCGTCCCTGATGGTCTCTTCAACAGGTCTCTGGGCCAGAGACAGGTGCCTGGAGGCACAGCCGGTGGCGAAAAGCGTGCCGCGTATTACTCTTAAGTTGGGCATGTCCCTCTGCAGGAGAAAAATTCAAGAATATTTAACAAATAGTCAGGGGACGATTTACTGCATTTGTTTTGGCTATTTGGGTTCATTTTTATCTTATATTTTCCGTCCCAGATCCGCCTTCAGGGAGACATGGCCGACCTAATATTACTCCCCTCGAGCCGCCGGATGTGGAGGGGGGAGTGGCGGAGGGCCCCGACCTCCTTCATGTATTGCTTTGTTGTTTACTGTTTTTGGTTGTGGTTGCTCCCTCCCCGTCTTTGTTTTATTGTCACTCGTTGCGATCTTACTTTGGGAGTTTTTTGGGGGGAGTGCTCCCGTTGTTACTCGTTGCTGTTGCTCCCTCCCCTCCCTTGGGAGTACTTATTTTTGTTTCTCGTTGTTTTATTTGGGTGTTTTTGGTATCTCCGGTCTCGGAAGTCGGGCAAGGGCTGCTAAATCTGTGGCTGCTAGAATCGACCTCCGGGAAGTTGTCTTCGTCCTTCCGGGAAGTAGCCCGTTGACGGTTTCGCGTGCCGCGCCTCGTTCCCAGAAGTTGTTTTTTCCTTCCGGGAGGGCCGTTTTAGCCGCCACGGTTCTGGCAGCCCTCGCCCAGCTTCGTACAGTCGCCCTCTTTGACGAACCAACAGCACACACCCATACCCATAGGGGCATCTGAGAGGGCTATGGGTGTGTGTTGTCGGATGGGGGTCCCCGCTCGAACGGGAGCGTTCCCCAGGGTCCGACAACCCGCACCCATACCCATAGCCAGTCCTCCTCCCAACGACCTCCCTATGGGTATGGGTGTGTGTTGTCCGTTCGTCAACCCTCGGCGATCTCAGGGGGCTCGCCCTTCGTTGCGGCACAGATCGGACGGGGCTCGGGGCAAGGATGCGGGCGCACCAGGGCGTCTCATCGAGGTCGGCTCGGGGAGGGTGCCCTGATGTGGTTCGAACTTGAGGGGCGTTCTTGTGCATCCTGCGGGAGGGCACCTCTATGTTCTTCAGTTTGGGCCAGCGGGGTGTGTGTTGTTCGTTCGTCACTCTTCCCGCCGCCTGCCGTGCTCAGCTCGGCCCCGTGCGGCCGGCTTTGGCCTCTGAGAGCGCGGCCGGGGCCCGGGGGATCTGGGGACGATGTTTGGGAGGGTTCTCCCACGGGGGGGGGTCTGAAATGGCTTGTCTTGGAGGGTCCAGACCCCCTCCCTTTTATTACGAAATCTGGAGTACAGTCGCCCTCTTCCCGCCGCCTGCCGTGCTCAGCTCGGCCCCGTGCGGCCGGCTTGGGCCTCTGCGAGCGCGGCCGGGGCCCCCGCTGCTGCGGCACGATCACGGGGCCTCCGGGCGCCGGGCCCCCCAGGAGTTCCCCCGGGAGTTCTCTGCTGCTTCTTGTTTTTGTCGTGCCGGATCGTGCTGTCCTCCTCCTCCTCCTAATCCTCCTCCTCCTCCTCCTAATCCTAATCCTAATCCTAATCCTAATCCTAATCCTCCTCCTCCTCCTCCTAATCCTAATCCTAATCCTAATCCTAATCCTAATCCTAATCCTAATCCTAATCCTAATCCTACTCCTAATCCTAATCCTAATCCTAATCCTAATCCTAATCCTAATCGTCCTCCTCCTAATCCTAATCCTAATCCTCCTCCTCCTCCTCCTCCTCCTCCAAATCCTAGTCCAAATCCTAATCCTCCTCCTCCTCCTAATCCTAATCCTCCTCCTCCTCCTAATCCTAATCCTAATCCTCCTCCTCCTCCTCCTCCTCCTCCTCCTCCAGATCCTAATCCTAATCCTAATCCTAATCCTCCTCCTCCTTCTCCTCCTCCTCCAGATCCTAATCCTAATCCTAATCCTCCTCCTCCTCCTCCTAATCCTCCTCCTCCTCCTCCTCCTCCTCCTAAACCTAATCATGATCCTCCTCCTCTTGTTGTTGTGCCTGCCGGGGTCCAGGGGCGGCCTCCAGGCGACGCGCGAGTCCAGCCCGGCGGCGGCACTCGAGCCCGACCCTCGCCGATCGACGACTCGGGGCCCTGCGCGGAGTCGGGCGCGGCAGAGAGGGGGGTGAGTTGGGAGCCCCCAAACCAGGTGGTGAGATATCAGGTGGTGACCTGGAATCCCGCAAAAAGTCACCCCCGGGTTTGGGGACACGGGCTCACCGCCGGGTCTTGTGACTCCTGGGCCCACCAGCGTTCGGGACATCCTCGAACAAGCGCATGAGTCCCCAAACCGGGTGTTGACACCAAATCGCCCGAGACTCACCGCCAGGTGTTGTCACCACCACGTTTGGGGATTACGAAGTGAGGGCCAGGGGGGGGGTGGATCGCATGGCGGGGGCCATGATATTTCCCCCGATTTCATGGCGCCGCTTCTTGTTTCATTGCGTCCATGGCCCCCCCGCTGGGACGCGCACATGCCGCTGGTCATGATTTGCACCCCCCCCCCTCTTAGACACCCCCCCTCTTGGCCGCTCCCGACAGAGGGCGGGTTGGGGGAGGGGGGGAAGGCTTCCTCGAAGCACCCCTGCTTCTTACAGGGCGCGGGCCCAGTGTGTAGATGTGTATCAGGAGGGAAAAAACCCAGAGACACAATTAATCTTCGATTCCCCAGAAAATATGGAAAATATGGGAAGCGGGGGGGACGACAGAAATCCAGAAAATATGGGAAAATGTCGGGAATCGTTTTATTTGTGTGTATATGTTTGTGTGTCCTAGGGCCCCTTCAGTGTAGTGCCGGCGCCTTCCAAGAAGCAGCCTCCCTCTACGAAGCCTTCCCCCTCCCCCTACCTCTCCCTGCGCGCCGCCAGGATTCAGGTAGCTGCTCGATGGGAGGCGGGGGTGGGGTTCGGAATTCGTCGAGCACGTAGCGAATTCCGAATCCAACCCCGGCATCCCCGTCGGTTCAAGAGGATCGATGGTTGGTGGGGGCAGGGCTCGGGCGTCGCCACCTACCAGCGCGATCTCTCGTCGAGCCGTCAGGGGTCCCGCGGGGCAGGGGGTCCCTACAAGGGCCTAACGACCCTCCTCCGATCGACTTGCGCAGGTCGGTCCAGACAGCCCGGACCTCCCAGGTGGGGTCCGGGCGGATGGGGTCGGAGGATCGAGCCGCATCGCCGAGGCATCGAGGATGCGGCTCGATGTGGAGCCCAGCTCTCTTCATGCCGACGTCGCCGATGCAGCGCCGCCGTCGCCGATGCCTCGCCAGGGCAGCGGCGGCGATGTATCGCGCAGGGCGGCCCGCGGGGGCGGCGCGCGGGCCCGGGAAGCGCGCGGCACAGGTGCGGTGGGGGGCGCTTCGTGGCCATGCCGCCAGGGTGACGATGCACCACAAGAGGTCTGATCTATACTCAGGAGGGGCAAGAACTCACAGACACCATCGATCGTCGATTCCCCCGAAAATGCAGGAAAATATGGGAAGTGGGGGGGGAAGACAGAACCCCAGAACATATGGGAAAATATGGGGAATCATTTTGTTTGTGTGTATTTATTTGTGTGTCCCTGGGCCCCTTCATATATGTTCGGTTCGGCCCTGCGTGTTCAGGAGGGCACTTCGCATTAGTACAGTCGAGCATCTGATCAAGAACCCTCCAGCTGGAAAGCTGGGCTAGCGTTTCTCAACCCATTCGTCGGAAAGCTGGCCGAGTTTCTCGAGCACGCTCGCTCTTCCAGCTTTAGCACCAGAAGTTGGCCCAGGTTTAAAGAAACTCCCGGGAAGCAGGCCCAGATCTCTTACATGATGATGTTCTGAATCTCCTTGTCGGCTGTATGTCTTTCTGCGTCCTACTTGTTGGCAGAGGCCCGCGCCAAACTCACGAGCAAGGAGAAGGCGAACCACACGAGCAGTGCGAACTACACCGGCGACGGCGACATAAGGCACTACGCCCAGGCCACGCGGCGGACTGGGCGACGGGCAACAAACAGCAGGGGTAGGGGGCGAGGGTCATTTCTAAGGAGCGGCGCGGAGGAGAGAGGAGGAGAGATGAAGAGGAGGAGGAGGAGGAGGAGGAGGAGGAGAAGGAGGAGGGAGGAGGAGGAGGAGGAGGAGGAGGAGGAGGAGGAGGAGGAGGAGGGGGAGGAGGAGGAGGAGGAGGAGGAGGAGGAGGAGGGGGGGGGGGGAGGAGGAGAGGAGGAGGAGGAGGAGGGGGAGGAGGAGGAGAAGGGGGAGGAAGAGGAGGAAGAGGAGGAGGAGGAGGAACAGGATACGGAGGTGGGGGCACTTCTTCGGGGGGGAGTAGCACTGAGGGATGATGGCACGTGCCGATCAGGCGATTTCCCTGTGCAGAGAAGGCGCGCCATCCATGCCCCTGGCTGCGAGACACGGGGGCGAGGTCCGAGGCAGGGCCATAAAGTGCAGTGCAGTGTCCAGCGAGGGCCCCGCCCTGAAGAAGGACCGCCCTGAATCCTCCTCCCCCTCCTCCTCCCCTCCTCCTCCTCCTCCTCCCTCCCCTCCTCCTCCTCCTCCTCCTCCTCCTCCTTTGGCCAGAAAGCCACGGGAAGTCTCGACGCGAGAGCCCAGACTTGAGACGGAACTGCCCTCACTCCGTGCAGCTGTTGGGCGCGCTGCAGACGAATGTGTGCACGTCGCCGAGGCGGGAGCCACATGCCGTAAATGAGCCGCCCTCCATCCGTGTATTTCCCGAAAGCTTTTAAGACGAATGTGCCCGGTGCTGGAGCCTCATTTTGAAAACGACCTGTGCCCCACCCGAGTACGTGTCGGGAGCCTCTAGGGCGAATGTGCGCAGCGCTCAGGCGAAGGCCTTACTTTGAATGCGACCTGTGCTGCATCCGTGTGACTGTCGGGAGCTCGCAAGACGAATGTGGCAGGCTCCCAGGCGAGAGCCTTATGTTGAAGTCGACCTTTCCTCCATCCTTGTAGCTGTCGGGAGCTTTTGAGAAGAAAACGACTTGTGCTCCATCCGTGTAGATCTCGGAAACATTCAAGTCGACTACACGCAAGAGTGACCCTGGGTAAGAATGACCTTTGGTGCGTGGCTTTTTGGGGGCCGCGGGGGAACCAAACACGAGCGCGCAAGACGCTGCTTCCGCGTCGTGTTCGGCGATCGGGTGACCCCATTGGGCCCGCACCAAAGGTCACTCCTGCGAAAGGTCACTTTTACGTGCAGTCGATGAAAGGCGAATGTGTGCGGCGCTGAGGCGAGAGCAACGTTTTGCCCACGACCCCTCCGTCCGTGTAGTAGCTGTTGGAGGTCTCAGCCTGCGGGGGTCATAGGCGGGGGGGAAGTCCTCAGGCGAGACGTACAGCCCACTCCATCGACACGATTGGTGGACAGACGAGAAGTATGGTTCACCACCCGACACTTGCAAGCTTCGGAGGCGAATCTTTTTCAAACTGGTGTTTGCGCCTCAGTGCTGTGCACGCTCGTCCTACAGGTTTGCGGCCGTGATAGGGACGGCGGGCGGTTCCTTCCCAAAAGGGGGCCCTCGCCGTAGCGCCGTGTACGTGTTTCGCAAAAGCTTGCAGCAGTCACAGGGATGGAGGGTGGTTCTCTGTCAAGATGGGGCTGTCGACTCAGCGCCGCGTGCATGTCCTTTACATGCTTGCGCCAGGGGCAGGGACGGATTGCACTTCTTTTTCACCATGGGGGCATGTGTATACATATGTATAGGTATATATATATATATGTATGCACTTTTGGTTTACAATGCTCTTAGTGTATTTGCAGGCAGCTGTTCAAGTCTACATGCGGCATAAGGGTGGAGGGCGTTTCCTTCCCAAAATGGGTGGGGCTACCGCCTGGATGCCTGGCATACTACTGAGCAGGTGTCACCGCTGCACGGATGGAGGGCGGGTCCTTGCAAATGTGGGATCTCGCTGACGCGTCCTCGACAGTGACGGCCAGAAGCGGAAAGCTACAGCACCCACGCGGATGGGGCCACGCTCATTCGCAAAGCGGGGCCTTCGTCTTATATTGTAGTGGCCTCCGGCCAGTGCCGCCGATCCGGGGCGCTCCGGGTGCCTGTGGAAATGAACGACGACGAGGAAGACGAAAACGACGACGAAAAGGAATACGTCGACGACGACGACGACGAGAGCGACGACGACAACGACCACGACGACGACGACGACGACGGCGATGACGACGAGGACGCGAGCGACGACGACGACGACGACGACGATGACGCGAGCGACGACGACGACGACGACGACGACGACGCGACGACATTCCCTCTTGCTTTTGATCGTGCCTTGTCGCACTCCTCGCACCTCGCCAGAATGGCTGTGAGGCTTTGCCTTTTTCAGAGCGGGGCCCACGCCCGAGGGGGAGGCCCATGGGGTGCCCTTCCTTCAAGGGGGGCGCCGCTGGTAGTTCTGCGGCATGGTTTCGGGGACTTGCTCCTGCTCCTCCTGCTCCTCCTGCTCCTGCTGCTCCTGCTCCTCCTGCTCCTCCCGCTGCTCCTCCTCCTCCTCCTCCTCCTCCTCCTTCTCCTCCGGCTTGAGACGGGATAATGTTCTGCAGCATCGCTGATGCGTCCTGGGTTTGCTCTGGTCCCCCACTGCCGCCTGCATGCCCTTTCTTACAACTCATTATTTTTGGTCGCGCCAGCAGACGTGTCGTGAGGGGGCGGGCCGAACGTTCCGTCTGACACGTCCCCATCGGTGTCGACATTTCAGCGGGGGTGCTTTTCAAGATGCGGCTCTCGCCCTAGCGCTGGGCGCATTCGCCGTACATATTTGCAACATTCACGAAGATGGAGGGTGAGTCTTTTTCAAGTGGAGCGTTCGCCACATCACCGCGCAGGCTCGACAAACTTGCAGCGCTGATAGGCATGTGCGGCTCGCGCCTCGCCTTGTCTCGGATGGTAGGGCTCGTCTTTGCAAACGTTGGCTCTCGTCCGAGGCTGCGTCAACATGTGCTATCTGTTTTTTTCACAAAAATCAATCAGTCATACGAGCAGAGGGTGGTTCCTTCTCAAAGTGGGTCTCTCGCTTGAGACCTGGTTTTGGCTTAATGACCAGACGCTTAACGATGTTCAACAGTTGCACACATGGAGGGCGGCCCTTTCTCCCATGCGGGACCATTACTTTGTTCTTCTTTGAGCTTTCTGACCCCGCGTTGGCGCATTCCGGAAAAGCAGCGAAAGAACGCAGAACAAGTCTGTGTCCTCGACTCTCTCCCTCCCAGGCCTGCAGCGGGTCCTGCAAACCTGGCGTCTGTGAGTCCTTCTGCGGCGCCAACAACGCCTGCTGCAAGAAGGCGCCGGCGTGCACCACGCTGCCGCTGCTGCTGCTGGTTCTCCTCTTCGTTCTTCTCGTCGTCGTTGTCGTCGTCCTTTGCCTCCTCCCAGAGGAGGAGGATGAGGAGTAAGAGAAGGAGTAGGGCAGGGGGGGAGGAGGAGGTGGAGGAGGGAGAGGAGGGAGAAGGATGGGGGAGGAGGAGGGGGAAGATGGATAGGAGGAAACAGAAGATGGGAGGGAGGGGGGGATGAGACGGAGGTGGGTTGAGGACGCTGGGGATGATGGTGATAAGGTTGAGGCTGAGGCTGAGGCTTAGGATGATGATGATGTTGTTGGTGATGCTGATGATGCTGATGATGACGATGATCATCATGATGGTGCTGACCATCGTGTCGATGATGCTGACTATGACGATGTATGATGACATTGGTGATGATTATGGTGATGATGATGCTTACGATGATGATTCTGATGATGATGATGGTGATGATGGTGAGGATGCTGATGCTGATGCTGATGATAATGATGATGTTGAGTATGTTGACGGTTCACAGCGATGATGAGAAGTCTGATGATGGCGAATTCGACGATGATGGCTCACGGTGATGGTGACGATGCTGCTGATAATGCTGCTGCGGATGATGATGCTGATGATGTTGATGATGATGACGAGGATATTGATGCTGATGATGATGATGATGATGATGATGATGATGATGATGATGATTATGATACTGCTGCTGATGATGCTGATGATGCTTATGACGGTGGTGGCGACGACGTCGTTGAGGAGGATTATTCAATTGATGTTGGTGCTGCCTGTGATGATGCTGACGATGATGACGAAAGTGCTGATGGTGATGAAGGCGATGAGGATTATGAAGACGATAAGGGTCATGAGGTTGGTGACGAGGAGGTTGCTGATGGCGCTGATGATGATGTTGCTGATGATGATGATGATGCTGATGATGATGATGATGCTGATGATGATGATGATGAGGAGGAGGAGGAGGAGGAGGACATGCTCTAGCCAGGACGCCCCGAAATTGGACGGCTGGCTTGTTTTTGTAGTCGCCAGCCCTTGGAACTCTCGACCTCCTCCTGGGGACTCGCTTGTGTGTTTCTGTTGATTTTCCTTGCGCAACATAGGGCACGTTTTCTGTTCGAACCGCCAGGCGTCACGCGTTTCATGATGATGACGGCTGCGACCACGACCATGCTGGTGCAGCTGACGGTTGTGATCGGGACGATGACGGTCACGATGGTGATGGTGATGACAATGGAGAAGGATGATAGGACACTTGGGTACATATGCGATATTGCAATACACCTTTCCGTCGTAACTACCCCCTCTCTAGTTCCTGCATGGATTCCTTCCGCCTGCGAGAGCCACCCTTGAAATGTGTTACCCCCAGGGGCCTGCCATTGAAGCGGGAGCGCCGTTTTTGGAAAAGGAGCTGGCCTCCATCGTTCTAGCTCTAAGAAGTGACGCGGGGGTATGCCGAGTTCACTGGGGATCCCGCGATGGTCTGTTTCTGGAAAGAACGGCCTTCCATCCGTGTAGCTACTGCGCCACGTTCAAGCGATGGAATACAAAACCAACGATGCTGCATCACTCAGTCCCAAGTCCTCTCAGATAAGCCCCCCTTGTCCCAAGTTCTCTCAGAATGAGCCCCCCCCACACACACACGTATTCCTTGCCACTTTGGGAGACGCCCCCTCGAATGTCAAGCGCCCCGTTGGCCCGCCACTCAGGCGGCACTCCGTTTCGTGCAGGGTCCGCTCTTCATCCTTGGTGCCAGGCGGGATCCCAGCTTTGAACGATGACCGCTCCCATGTGTGTAACCGTTGCGCAGGCTTGCACTTATGGCCAGAACCTTCGAGGCAGTATTAAGCGAGGGCCTCAGAACCGCCTTCCACCCCGCGCAGCTGTTACATATCACAAAAGAGTTTGGCCTCCAGTTCTTGGAAGTCCCAGGCGAAGCCCCAGGTTGAACCTCCAGCCGTGTAGTTGCGGCAAGGTTGTATGAAGACGAGTGCGCGCGGCGCTTATGCGATAGCCCCATTCTGAAAACGATCCGTGCGCCATCCTTGAAGCCGTTGCAGGCTTTTGCGAACGACGTGTGCTCTATCCTTGAGGGAGGGGGGGAACAGGATGATGAGGATCAGGAGGAGGAGGAATGGGCTGGGGAGAAGGATGAGAAGATTGATAAGAGGGATGCCCAGGAGGAGGTCAAGGAGGCGAGGGACGAGGAGGGCCCGCCAGGGCGACAGCAGCGACCCCGACGTCTGCGTCGGCGTCGGCTTCTGGCCCGTGACGACCTTCCACACGTGCGCGGCCCCAGCGCACGTCGAGCTCGCGGCAGAGGGGGAGGAGAAGGAGGAGGAGCCGGAGGAGGAGGGGGAGGAGGAGAACGAGGAGGAGGAGAGGGAAGAAGAGGAGGAAGAGGAGGTGGAGGTGGAGGAGGAGGAGGAGGACGAGGAGGAGTAGGAGGAGGAGGATGAGGGGGAGGAGGAAGAGGGGGAGGGGGAGGGGAATGAGAGACGGTCGATACACTGCGGTGTCAGCACCAGCGCGACGACAAAGGGAAACACGACGATACTGATCAAGATGATGATGGCGGGCAGGATGATAACGATGGGGAGCATGCTGTCGGCGATGGGGTGCCCATTGTTGTCCTTGTGGTAATGCTAACGGCGACTATGCTGACGAGTATGGGCACGACCATGTCGGTGATGTTATGTTAGCAACGGTGGAGACGGGGTGGGATGGTGATGGTGAGATATGACGATGGCGATGCTGATGGTGGTTGTGTTTGTTGATCACTGTGTCGCTGCTGCTGCTAATGAAGGTATTGATACTGATGCTGACGATGACGACGACGACGAAAACTGTGATGCTGAGCATGGTGGTACTGATGTTGGTTCTGATGAGATGGATGATGCTGCTACTGCTGCTGGTAATGGTGAGCATGGTGATGGTGGACACGCTGATGGCGATGATGACGGTGGCTGTTTTGGTGGTGGTGACGGTGTCGCTGCTACTGCTCATGATGATGATACTGATGATGCTGATGATGGTCATGCAGATGCTGATGATGATGCTGCTGGTGATGCTGCTGATGATGATGATGATGATGATGATGATGATGATGATGCTGCTGCTGATGATGATGATGATGATGATGATGATGATGTTGATGCTGATGCTGATGCTGACGCTGCTGATGATGATGGTGATGATGACGATGCTGATGATGCTGCTGGTGATGATGATGATGATGATGACGATGCTGTTGCTGTTGATATTAATGCTGATGCTAATGAGTCTAATGACGATGATTCTCTTGATGTTGATGCTGATGCTGATGCTGATGCGGTTGTTGTCGATGATGATGACGATGACGATGACGATGGCGGTGACGACGATGATGAGGAGGAGGGGGAGGAGGAGGAATCAGGAGGAGGAAGAGGAGGAGGAGGAGGAGGAGGAGAAGGAAGAGGAGGAGGAGGAGGAGGAGGAGGAGGAGGAGGAGGAGGAGGAGGAGAAGGATGAGGAGGAGGAGGGGTGGTCTGGCTGCCTCCAGCGCCAGTCTCCCAGGTGCGTGAAGCCGCCCTACCTCCTCCAGGCGCAGAAGAAGTGGTGCGGAGACACGCCGCTGAGCGACAACTGGACGCCGCTGGGAAGTCCCCGCAAGCGAGGGACGTGAGAGGATCCAGTCAGGGGCAACGTTAGGGGGGATAGGCTCAGGGGGGGAATGCACCGTCCCCTTGATCGTCCATCGATCTCTGACGAGGGCCCGATAGCCCACCCCGCCCAGGACCGTGCCGGCTTCTCCGTCCAGGGCTTGTTGCCGATCTATCGGCCGTGCATCGCAAAAAAAACAAAAAACAAAGAATTGATGGTTTTTTATATATATATATATATAAAAATAAATAAAAAATAGAAAAAAATCTATCGGCCGTGCATCGCCGATTCCAGGTGGATGCTTTCCCCCCGAGCCGGTTCCCTCCTAAAATTCCCCCTCGCCCAGACATCTGGCGGCTCGGTGGTCGTTTTTTCATTCACTGTTTTGCCGATCGGCGCGGGCCCTCGTCCCCCGCCGCCCACGGAGTAGATCTCGGCTGTTTCTGGGCGCCTGTGTCGAGCAGGTGGAGTCCCTATCCCATAGGACGCACGGCTCCAACCAGCCGCACTAAGCAGAGGTCCGGAGCCAGACCCCCCCCCCCTTCCTCCCCTTCCGCCCAATGTGTCGAAACGCCGAAAAATAAAAAACGCTCACCTCTTCGCCGCCTGCGCGCCCGCGGCTGCGACTTCTCCACGACACCAGGGAAACTGATGTGCGCATTGTCCACCACCACTGCCATATTTTGTAGGACGGGAGAGGAGGGGGGATGAGGAGGTCCTCCTCCTCCTCCTCCTCCTCCTCCTTTCGCCCAATGTCGAAACGACGAATGACGAAACCGCTCACTGTCGACGTAAGCGGGCTGGCGGCTGTCCGCAGCGTGGGCCTCTGGGGCCCGGGAGCCATGGGTCCAGCAGCACAAGGCCTCGAGATGCGAAGCCAGCCCCAGGGGAAGGGGCCCAGGCCTCTGGGGGGTCAAAGATACGGAACACCTCATCACGGCGTCGGGGTCCTGGGATGGTGGAGGATCGCGCTCCGATGTTCGAGGTTCGAGGTCGAGGTCGAGGTTTTTGGACACTTTTTCCCAGCCCTCCTGCGTTGGGTTCTCGTTATGAATAGAGCACTATGGTCTCCACCTTCCTCCCGCCTCCCTCCTTCCTTCCTCTTCTCCCCTGCCTCGTACTACTCTTGCCTGCTACCCTGCCTCGTATTTCGTCGGCCTGCCTGGGTTCTCGGTGGGGGGCTGCGATCCGCGAAACTGCCGCCACCATCGTGCTTTCCACTGGAAGTGCTTATCCCTGTGCTCGCACGTCGGTTTTTACAATGGAAAGCTGGGTGTCACCAACCTGTGTCCCTGGCCCCCCAGTTTACAACAACAACAACAACAACAACAACAACAACAACAACAACAACAACAACAACAACAGCAACAATCATTTTAAGACTGTTCGCTCTTATCTGCTCGAATGTCCGTTAACGCGTGTTTCCCAAACCCTCGATACCCGCCCAGTTCGTCTTCGATCGTATCCTTTCTGGGGGTGTGCCTTTCTTCCCTGCAGGCCGGGCCCTTCAAGCGGCGGGGCGGCCGCGTGCCGTCGGCCTGGCCAGCGGCAGCGCTGATCGGCGGCAACCCGACCCCAAGAGGGACGGACAGGGGACCGACCACGACGACGACGTCGACGACGTCGACGATGATGGCGGCGACGACGACGACGACGAGCGAAACCGAGAGCGAGAGAGAGAACGACAGCAGGGCCACGAAATGCACGAAATAGGCCACGAAGGGCGACAGCGGGGACACGAGGGGAATGCGTATGGGGCCACGAAGGGCGCGGACGAGCGGGGACCACGAAGGGCAGATAAAGCGGGGCCACACAAGGCAACGACGGGGCCACTGGGGGTAGCGACTGGGCCACGTAGGACAGCGAGGGGGCCACAAAGGGCGACGGCGGGGCCACGAAGGGCATGCACATGGGGCCACGACGGGCGCGAACGAGCGGGGGCCGCGAAGGGCATGCGTATATTGGGCCGCGGAGGGCAAGGACGGGGCCACGAAGGGCAGCAACGGGCCACGAAGGGCAACGAGGGGGCCACGAAGGGCGACAGCGGGGCCACGAAGGGCATGCATATGGAGCCGCGAAGGGCGCGAACGAGCGGGGGCCACGAAGGGCATGCATATATGGGGCCACGAAGGGCAGCGAGGGGGCCACGAAGGGGTGTAACGGGGCCACGAAGGGCAGCGAAGGGGCCACGAAGGGCAGCGAAGGGGCCACGAAGGGGCGCAACGGGCCACGAAGGGCAGCGAGGGGGCCACGAAGGCAGCAACGGGGCCACGAAGGGCAGCGATGGGGGCCATGAAGGGCTGCAACGGGGCCACGAAGGGCAGCGACGGGACCACGAAGGTGTGCAATTGGGCCACGAGGGCAGCGAGGGGGCCACGAAGGGGTGCAAGGGGTCCACGCAGGGCAGCGAGGGGGCCACGAAAGGTTGCAACGGGCCACGAAGGGCAGCGATATCCCGATTCCTACGTAATCTGTGAGGGGGTATGAGGCGTGAGCGCGACTCCTAGGTGCCTGAGTGTCGGGGGCGCGGCCCTTGAGTAGACTGCGGAAAATTCCAACGCACGGGCGCTATTCTTGAGTAATTTGCAAGCGAACCTCCATGGAAAATGCGCTTCCAGAGCTCCAAGAGCGCGATTCCTGAATTAATTGTAGGGAAGTCCCAGGCGAGAGGGCGATTCCCGAGTAACATGCGAGGAAGTCTCAGGCGGGAGCGGGGGTCCTGGCTAAATCGTGAGGAAGTCTAAGGCGGGAGCCGTTGTTCTTGTACCCCGGGGGCCAACACCACAGTTTGAGGAAGAATATTTTCCTGGAGAAAGAGCAGGGTGCGAGTGTCGAGAGGATTGAAAACATACTTTGTGCACCCGAAAGGGGGGATCAACATTATTTATTCTTCAGTAGTGAGGGTTCAAC